CTTCATTGATCCCTGAGGGGAAATTGGGTGAAAGAAAAACACAAGTAATACTATTAAAATGAAAGAAATGTGCCTGCCTCAGCAACAGCAAGACTTTACTGGGATATAAGTTTTAATGGGACTTAAGAAAGAGTGCTGTGACTCTTTAGATACTATATTCTCAATAAAATACCAATACATGTGACATAACTGCGTGGTTGGCCAAAGATGACCTTGGTTGAACAGAAGGGATTAAAGCGATGTAATGTTTTTCTGGGAATGTTTTTCCTACAGTAGATAATTCCTTAAGTACAATTCCAAACAATTAGATTTTTTGGAAATGCTATATGTAAACTCACTGTAGTTTACTTAGGGCAGACAGTTTAAATTGTTCTTTTCCTACAGCCTGACTAGAGCCTACTCGTCCTGTAGATGTCTATCAACGGAGCTAAGACGGACTAATCTCACTGTTGAGCTAAAAGTCAAACTGCATCTAAGAACAAAGTCACATTCCCCAAAACCAAACTATCCCTTTAAGAGAGACAAGAAAATAAACTGAGTGGTTTGTCAGAACAGTAAACATTGCTGCAGAAAGAGGAAGTACTTACTGTGCCGGGCTCTCGCTCTATTGCCATTGGAAATGCGTACATGCGGTTGAGGTCACAGGGTTGGGTGTTCAGCAGAGCAAAAAGCAAAATGAAATAGACAAGAAGGAGAATGAGTTAGAAATACGAAGTCTACATTTAATTATATGTATAAATAAGAACGTTCACACAGAAAACTGACTCTGAAGCAGCTCAAACTACTTTGACTTCACCATTAACCATTGGTTTAAAAGTGAACTGTACTTTTTTTGTTATTCTGTTTTTCATAAACGTCCACGTCAGCCAACTAATGGGGGATAATTCCTCTTTGTATTTCAGGTGGTGGAGGGTGAGTGTGTTTCTTCACCTCTGTGGTGTTCAGGTCCTGCAGGGTGAGAGTCTGGTCCGGACATGTGGGGCTTTTTATCACCACCATCTTTTCCCACCAGATGTGGAGGAAGAGCACCAAGCGCTCCTGATAGAGCCAGCAGACCAGCTGAACCACCCAGCTGAGAGGGGTGGAGGCCAGCAGGGTGAGGGGTGAGGGGCACAGGGGCACCACCGTGGTTATGGGACAGGTGCTGCTGCTAGAAGACAAGAGGTAAAATATAGAAAGAGAACAAAGTTGTTAGTTGAGTTGAGAGAAAAGACACTTAAAACTGATCAGTGAATGAAACTGAGCCACCAATATGTACAGATCAATAGCACTCTGTAACCTAATCAATAGAGGTTATGGCCCTATTCACGTCTTCAACAGATGGGGCTGTTTCTTCGGTGTCTGGGTTTACACCACCTCAACAAGCTGCTGCAGTCTTCAAGGCGGTGAACACATCCTCTCCCCCTACACACCACCTCACACACACACCCTCCTCCCTCTGGGGTCAAACACTGAACAATACTGACAGCTGGGATCACAGCCCAGAGCCTGAGGATGTGGTGGTAGAAGAGAGGGGGTGGGGGTGGGAGGGGGAGATGGGGAGGAAAAGGAGGAATGACGGAGAAGTGGGGGGAGAGAGCTGAGAGCCCCAGCTGCTGCCTGCACTGTCAGGTCTTGTGAGGGAGTGAGGCGGCTGAGGAGAGAGGGGAGGAGAGAGGGAAAGAAGAGGGTCAGAGAGAGAGAGTTTGGCTGGCAGCCCTGCTCTCTCTTTCACACCAAATCAGGCGCTCGTCTGAGCGTGAAATGCCTTTGTGTTCCAAAACATCATTATTGCCTCCTCAGACAGTAGCCGCGGGAATCCAAGCTCACTGATTCGCCACCGGGAGGGGAGGAGGAAGGAGGGAGAGGAGTGGGGAAGGGAGGGGGGCACAGGAGGCGACTCTGCAGGGGTGGAAGGAGTGCTGAAGGTCAAACCGACTTTTATCTCACCTAATTGACTAACCCACTCCCCCTCTCCTGAGCCCCCGTCTTCTCTTCTCCCCTCTATCCATCCTTCACTCTCTGCGTCCTGCCCCGATGAATGAAAGCAAAACAACAAAACAGTCTTTTAGCCTCAACCTCCATGCCTGCCTGTACACACGGACACACACTCAATTTCCCAGAGTTGGTTTGCCTGCCAAACAATCAAAAATAAACACACCCACACGTCACACTTGATCACACTAACATGCGTACACAGAGTCTAGATAAACAAGGCAGGCGCACACACACACACTCACTCAACCATCCTACCCTCTGCCTGTTGTTTTCTGGGGAGAACAGAAATGCACGCTCTGCTACATCCAGACGCACACACATACAGATGCAAAAACACACACACACACACACACACACACACACACAGACAGACAGGACCCCTGATGGGAGTAAATGGAGGGGAAGTATTGGTGGAGGAAAGGGGAGCCCGGTTTATCATGGGATGTTTGTGTGTGTGTGTGTAGAGGGGTAGGGGCAACATGCTTCATTACACTCATTTAACTCACAAACGGGGTGAATGACAGGCTGGCGTGGGAGACGGGAGGAGAGGGGAAGAGGGGAGTGTAAGGGCAACGCCGTGGACCCCCCCCCCCCCCTTTTACAAACACTGAAAATCCCTGCCAATTAAACTCAAAACTGCAACTGCCAGATCCCCTCTCCCCCAATCCGGAACACACACAGACTCCCCCATCGTCCACGCCAACTAACAACCCACCACACATTTAACTCATCCAAACCCATTGCCCACTTTTTTGCTAAGCTTAAAGCTATAAAGACCCCCCCCCTTTCCCACATTCCCCTTCAACTCAACCCCCTGGCCTCACCTCCCACCAGTCAAGCCCCCTAAGGGTTCCTATAAATCAGGGTATTCTCAACTACCACCTCATCCCACCCAAAAAGTCTCTCTTTTTACCCAAACATCAGAGCGAAACCGCAAGCGAAAGGTTTATGTTTTTCTAACTTCCTTTCACACTCACCGTGCCAATCCCTCCTCAGGTCTGAAAAGCCAGTCAGTGCACATCATTCATCACAGGCTGACGACATCTTTTCAATAAACACCTCCCATCAGACTTCTCCCACTGATTCAAATCCTCTATTCTCTACTGGGTTTAAACTCTTTTCATATGTGAATATATATATATATTTATTTATATTTGTGCCCTTGAGATTGGTTTAGTAATCAAGGAATAGAAATAATTACATTTCTTTTAAAACAGTGTAGTTTTATGCTTGTCAAATCAATGTAGTTTTTTTTTGTGCAGGTGTGTAATTTATAAACACACAGCTTTACTTGCTTTAGTAGTGATTCTGAAGGTTTCAAATAAAACCCTAAAAAAATGTTTGACTTACTTTGATTTGCTCGGCTGTTGTGTTTGAATTATGTCTTTGTTACATATGTACTTATTACAATACAAGCTAATAATGAAAAAAAGCTGTATCTTATCGTTTACACTATCGTAGTTACACACCTGTTCAAGTGTAACTATGACACAGCTCCTTCACATTCAGCAACACTAGCCCTGCTGACCTACACATTTTCCACTTGTGTGAGGCATTAAAGCATCTGAGAGGTTAAATGACACTACTGACGAAATATGAAAGAGATGCTGGACCAAGAGTACACACAGGAATGCAGATACAGTTGATTTAAATACAGTTTAATAAAGAGTAAGTAGAGGAATACACACGCTGGGTGGAAGACCTGGCAGTCCACGTACCCCGATGACGGCATTGAGCTCTGCCATGGTCACCTGTTTTGCTCGCTCCACTGCTTGGACCACCTGCTGCTGATGCTGCAAAACACACACACACACACAATGTTGCTAAAGACAAAACGTAAGAAGGCTGATTTATGAGTAAAGCTAGCAGAGACAGCCGAAGTGTATAAACGGCATAAAAAACAGTCTGTAGCTCAAAGTCGCACATACTTACCTCCTGTGAAAGGAAGGGAATGACTTGTGCACAGATGGTGTTTAGTCTCTTGGCAATCTCCGTCTGATGGAGGAAGAGACACACGGAGACAGAAAGAGACTTAATTGTTAATAACATAATTACATTCATTTAGAAAAGACAGCTGTTCAGTAACACCAATAAAGTAATACAAGCGCACACACAAACGCGCTGGAAACTGCCGCCTCCACGGCAAGCGTACGCACACACACACACACAGAAACCCCAACCAGTCTATGATACAACACCCATCCACTTCTCTCTACACACAAATCCAGTGTGTGCCATTTTCAGCATCGCTCACACACACACGCAGTACAATGAGATTTTCCTTTCTAATCGTCAGCATGAGCTCAAGTTTCTCTCCTGCCTGTTGTATTTCTTATGCTCTCTCTCTCTATCCTCTGTGCTCTTGTCCCTTTTCCCATCAGCACTTCACCATAATCTCATCAGCAACTAACTTCATTTGCTCTCCCCCAGTATCCATGCCAACACATCCGCCTGCCCCCCAAACCCCCGGAGGTGGCAACAATTGGCTGAAACCAGATACCCCCACAGTGGCACCAAATCAGATAAGGGGACTCATATTACATATCATCCAATCAAATTGATACGAAGAAGGCCAGGGTGAAGAGGGAATTGGAGGAGCCATGAAACGTAGTAATGGCTCATCAGACATCCCACATAAATAGATACACAGTGAAGGCTTAAAAAGGGCTACGTGTTGTTGTTCTGCGAATACCTCGGAAAAAAGTTTTTTATCATTATGTGTTGAAAACTAATTACACTTTTCAAAACTCAGTGGACAAGAGCAAAACACAGTCCTCAAGCTGAAGGACGTTCGGCAATCTATGGGTGTTTGGTGTTTTACTGTCGCAACAATTACTTCACCGGATGTGAGAATATGTAAGACAAGTTGCTCTAACTTTACTTACTTTGTCAGCTTCCTTCCAGAATCAGCTGCGCAAGAGACTTGTGGATATTGCTGCAATTCTTTTGTCATTAAAAGAGTCTACAGCCACACCAGCGGCTCTTTAAGGCGTAATGCTGCTTTGAATTAAATGCGAACACATCTTAGTTCAGTCTGTTACTATGCTCGCGTTAGATAATTAGCAGCTGATGATGATGATGGGAATGTATCTGATCAAAAACTAAAGTATTGGACAAATTAAAATTTTTGACTTCATGATGATGTTAGATTGTAAATTGTGGGATACGTTAACTGCAATTCATCCTGAAGTGGGAATGAAAATGTCTATGTACAGAATTTCATCTCAATCCATCCAGTAGTTGCTGAGATATTACCGACTGATATCGCCACTATGTTAATAACTATATATAACTATAACTCATGAACAGCTCACACGGTGGAGACTTCCCCTCACTGGACCTCTGTCACACACAGACCTATTAGCTTGCTGAACAACTGACCCTGATTCAGCCAATTATGTACTTAGAGGAGCTAAATAAAGTACTAGCCTATCCATAAGGAGTGTCCAAGTTAAAACCAGTAACTGCTTCGCCTAGAATAGAACTATAATAAGTATAATGTCAGGCAGACTTTACCTGCAAGTCCTTTCTGAGAATCCCGAGTTGTAAGCCGAGTTGTAAGCCTATAATTAGTCTTGTATAAAGGCTCACTAATGAATAGTCTGAACAACTACGATCAGGTCAGCTCAACTAATCTAACTAAGCTAACTGACAAAACTAACAAGGATCAAACAGATAAGGCCACAAATACCTGAAGCTGCAAACCCCCGAGTGAGGCATCATTACAAATTATGACTCAAGAATATCTGGAGGAAATAAAATAAAGGTAGCAAAAGTTCATGTGTCCTGAATAACAACATTGAAGATTTGGTGCGCCGCCCACACTGTGATATCGATATAATTGAGAGAGTGGGTAAAGAAAAAGTTGAGGATACAGAGAGAAGTGTGCTAACAGAACAGGCTTTCCATTACACATATAATTGGAGCATTATTGGCACACTACATACACACAAACCCGTACCTTCCCAGCAGGAGGTGGGTTGTTGTGGATCCCCCGTACCCCCCGCCCACAGAAGCTTGTTGCTCTGACAACTGCAGCCCCAAGCTAATGACCTCCCCTGGAGTTTTAGTGTGTGTGTGTTAGTCTGTGTGTGTGTGTGTGTGGACAATAGGAAGAGATGCATCGCCCTCACAATGAGAGAACAGTAGCTTCACATGGACATAAAACGAAAGAGGAGCCTAGAAAAAAAGAAGCGATGGTTGGGGGGGTGGGGGTGTAGCACAAGGAAGAAGAAGAGATCCCATACTTTTAAATGGAGACTGAGGAGGGCGGAAAGAAAGGGAGAGAAGAACTTGGGGTGTAAAAGGAGAATAACACAAGAGGAGAAGGAGAACAAAACCTAATGGGAGGGAGTATAAGAGAGTCGAGGAAGCATCCCCACTCCTCAGTGAAGCAGCCAGGCCAATCCACCTCCAATTTCCTCTGGTCTGACTGGTCGATAGCTGTGGTAATTACTGGTAAACGCTCTGAGCCATGCACCGCTCCTGTGGGGAAATGTGTGTCTGTGTCCATGAGAAAGAGAGAGAGAGTTTCCCTCCCTCACCCATGTGTCTACACTGTACGCTTGCCCTTCAATGCGTCCACGTATGCACTCATGTATAAACACGTTTGACTTTCTGTGTTTGTGTGTACATTACTGTGCGTGTGTTCAATTGTCCCATCCCTGTGTTTGGATACATTATTCATGTCTGTGCGTTAACGTCCTTGCCTTACATCACAATAGCTGAGTGTCCTTTCTGCATTTTGTGTTTGCACACTTGTGCGTCTGCCCTACTAAAGTGTGTGTTGGTGTGTTTTTCACCTCCCTGCTTCTAAAAGGGAGAGCTCCACTGTCTCTCCTCTGCCGGTCTCACCGTGATCGATTCCTCTGCCCTCCCCAGCCCTGCCCCTCTAATGTAATAAAGCAGGCCGCTCCCCTAGACAGCACCAATCAATCTACAGAGCCATTCATCCTGCCTCTGGGCTCAGGCGGCCGGCCCTAACTGGGGAAATGGAGACAGAGCCCCATCGATCACGAATAAACACACACACACACACACACACACACAGGAATACAGTAGAACACACACAAATGCGTTGGCGCACACACGAGGGCACGTCAACAGGCACACACACCAAATACATCAAAACCCTGCCATGAGAAAGGGAGAGAAAGAGGGAGAGAGGAAGAGAGACAAACAGGAAGCAGAGAGAAGGAGAGAGAGCAGAGAAGAGGCAGGCGGATTAAAGCACACATAACTGTTGTGCATTTCGATGATTGGGCCGTAAGACATCTCGTAGTACTGCGGAGGAGGTTGTGTTAGATAAGTAAAAAGGCTTCTGAGCCTTTAAATAAAGCCGAGAACACAAAAAAAAAAAAAAAACAGGCATTCAGATGCAGATCCATTAGCATGTCTAAGTAAGGGAAACTGTAACAAAAACAGGTGTAACGTTAAATGTGCTGTGCAGTTTTCTTATTACACCTCCTCCCTTTGTTCAGATGATACAGTAATTACGTAATCTTTAAATAAAATATTTCATTCATCAGCCTTTGGAAAGATGAAAGTTCAGCATCCTCCTCAAGGACACTTCAGCGGGGCAAAAGCCTCACTAGGTGACGTTGTGTGTGTGTGTGTGTGTTGTGTGTGTGGTGTGTGTATGAGCGTCACACCAGATCTCACCATGACATAGTGTCTCTGCATCTCCGTCTTTTCACTGGCCAGCTTCTCACACTCCAGCTTGAGACTGAAAAACAACAATACACAAACTTAAAACTCAAGTTAAACAAATTTGATCTCATTCAATCCAAGCCCGTAAATATATACACATACATATATTATATATGAGTTTAGTTGTTTTGGTTTTACAGTAAGTTTCAGTGCAGATCAATGAATATCAACAAGTATTTAGGACATAGACAGATGTATGACTGTCTGTCCTCTGTCTGAAACATCTGCTCGCACTGAGAATAAACAATGAGGATGTTGAACACACACACAAGTTTTCCTACAATACATATCGAACACTGGTGAAGCATACAACTTAGCAGACAGGTTAACGTTCCCTGTGATCCCTCTTTTCTTTTATTTAAATTAAAGCACCCAAAAAAAAATGCAAACACAAAGTGTAACAGAGCAGAGCACACAGCTGGTTTTCAAGAAAAATGAAAGTGAAATGGAGAAGACGGTTCTTTCTGGCGAATTATTACAACCACCGTCCGTTGGCCGTAGGCTGTTTGGTTTAACCCGGCTCTTTGCATGTGTGAATCAGGATGGGAAACAAAGCAGCCTGTTTTTAGGTCGGTAGCTTCTCACCTGTTGCGGCCAACCCTCCCCGACAACACAAATAAGTAATAGCAGTACATATACACAAAGCAGAGAAAAACACAACTGCACACGTACTCCCAACACACACACACACACACACACACACAGAGGGGAAAATAAGGAGTGATTTATGAAACCCTGAGCCCACACGCCACCCTCTGGCTCTCACCCATCACCAAGACTTAGACCTACCGCAGTGTTAGCACTAACATTGATGCCTGGGTCTGCTGCGTGTGTGTGTGTGTGTGTGTGTGTGTGTGTGTGAACCTAATCCAGGTTTATGGGTTAGTATGAGGCCAGGGCTGGGGTTTTGTTCATTATGGTAAGGGGAATGACTGTGGTTAGGGTGAGGTTTTAGTCTTAGGGCGCAGATGACAATGAGGAAATTGGCCACTGTGCGTTGAGTGAGTGTGTGTTTGTTTTATCCACCTGTGGTACTGTGCCTGAAGAAACTGGAACTCCTCCTTGATGCGGTCCAGTGACTCTGGGATGGTGAACTTGAAGGGCTGGCCTGGAGCCTGGTGGGGCGTCTGACACACACACACACACACAGACACACACAGGGGATTATTAACATCATAGTGCCTCATTATATGGCCAACAATATGCATCTGCTCCTCTCCAGGCTCACGTGTAATGTCAACAACTTTGTTTTATTAAACTAACTATATCTGCAATGCCATTCTGCTTCTGGGGGAAGATGCAGAGCCCAATTAACGAGAATAAAGAGCTTTAAATTTGAACATGTGCTTCAGCATAAAGGCTAAAAAAAAAAAGACAACAAGAGGCGCGGGTCAGACAAAGAGGTAATGTGGACACCCGGGTTACAGCCAGGTGACTGTTAGACTGTTAAAGCAGGGAGGGAAAAGAGTCTTACCGGGTGTCGCCCCTGGGGAAACATTGTTATCTCCGGGAAGATGTAACCGTCTCCTTCTTTTTAAAAAAAAAAAAAAACAAGAAAAACCCGCTTCGAGGGATTAAATGCGGGTACAGTGGGGGTTCGGGGTGCTCGTAGTCACGGAGACGAATCCATCCGCCGTTATTATTCGGACCAACGGTCGTTAATTTCAAACAAAAACCGACGGTTCCCTCCGAGTTCGCCGACCGTTTGATTCGAATCCCCGCTCCTCTCTGTCTCCGCTCCGCTCCGCCGGCAGCGCGGCCGTAAATCACCCGGAAAAACACGGGAAACGGCTCATTAGCTGGAGGCAGCTAAGGGGGGAGGAGGAGGAGGAGGAGGAGGAGAGTAAGAACCAGGTGAGAAATGAAAAAAGACTGGAGCCACCTCAATCACTCCGGGGTTTGTATTTTGTGTAGGATCCGATGTATTCCGAGTACAGAGAGGCGAGCAAACAAACGAGAACACATTCAAGCCAGTAGACCCTCAAACCGACAGCCGCAAACTGTCAGTCGGAGCATCAGAAACAAATCCAACACAAGTTAATTGCAGTGAAGAGTTCCCACTTGACTCGCCGCGGTCGCTAGCTGGCGGTTGAACAGTCAACAAAAACAGAAATATTTACTTCCCCGCTGAGTTTGGATGCAAAAACCTGCGTCCAAAATAGGTTTCACGATATAAACAAAAAAGAGGAAAGATGTTGTTAGTTTTGATAGCAACAACTCCCACAGCGGCAGCAACAGTCCACCGTCTAGCTCTGCTTTACCTCAATGGCAACTTTCTCACGCGGTTTCACGCTCCCAGCTAACCGAAACTGTAGGCCGGCCCACAAAACGACCACGGACCAATCAGAGCCGCCGCTCCACGTGGGGACACTAATGTAGATTACGGAGCTGACCAATAGCCGCTCTGTAAACTGCCCCGAGTCTGTTGACCTGGTTGAGCTACGCGGATTCTAGCCAATCAGAGCGTAGCAAGGAGCTACCATTCCGGAGGCGCGCAGGGCGGGCAGTGCGGTCCGTGAGGCAAGTCTCACCTGTCAATCAAAGTAACGTGGGCTCAGCAGGAGCAGGGTTGAAGATGTGCATGCACACACACACACACACAGACACACACACACATACACGTACACACATACATACACACACATACAGAAACATACTGTCTTTCTTAGTAGCTGCTGTGAACCTTCCTAACACGTGTCATGGTGAATCAACTCAAATCTCTCTCTTCCTCTCCTCTGTGTCTACGTAATAATATACACTGTGCACATGTATTTAGTATGAATTGAACTCACTTTGTGTTCCACTTCTCTTAAAAGAAACACAATTTAATTACGTCCCCAATCTAGTTCTCGCTGCATGTTTCAAGCAGTTTATTGCTGTTTTCACCTACAGTACAGTCAGCGAGCCACAAAGATAACTCATAGACGTAAGAGTCTAGGGACAAACCCAAAACCGCCACTTTAATGGAATAGCGTGAGGTCTTTCCTGGTACTGGTTATGTCACTTCAAAATTGCTATACACTATTTCTATACAAAGACGAGAAACTTGCCAGGGGGAAATCCTGATTTGGGGTAATAAAGTTCACAGAATGGTTATCATCCAAGCACACAAATCCAGACAGAAAAAGTCGAACAAAGGTTCCCCAAAACAGGTCAGCAGCACACAAAGAAAGAAAGCAGAGAAGGCATTAGGTGCCGAAAAGTGAATACATTATTTTAATATGCTCACTTTGTGCACAAATATTGGTGATTATGCTATAGGGAAAGATAGACATATTAAACTCACAATGATGATGATGATAATATATTTGGCTCCAACATCCATATTCCACAAAGCAGATAGCGACTGTTTGTAGTTTTGGTCAGTAGGTCAGTGGGGGAACCTCAAACTTCCTCTAAAATTTAGGACCAATATAACAATGATGAATAATGTTATCTAGGGAAATAAAAAGATGTCCTCATTTATTAATCCCCCTTTGAACTGCCTATACAGCACAAGTCACAGCTTCAGCCGGAATAATGACACCTTACACCACTCGTCCTGGAGTTGTAGTCGTGTATTTTTGTGTCTGACGAACCTCACCAGCATATCAACTGATGAAATACTATGTGACTGACGACAGATGTGCTAAAGGGACCACGTCATGAAGGGTGAGGCGGTTGAAACTGGGTTGTAAAGCAGACTCTGGGTTTTCCGAGCTCCACTTATCCCGTCTAAACACCGCTCAGTTCACAGGGAAAAAGCCCCCTCAGCTCCACCCTGGCCTGTGATTGGCGTGGAGAGCCCAACCCCTGACCCTGTGACCTCTGACCTCTGCAGCGGCTGATCCAGTCCATATGAGAGACTCCTGACTGTGACCAGTCGTGACCTTTTCCCAGCTCTCACACAAACACACACACAGGTGCTATACAGTGGGTGGTACTGTTAATCACAGTGGCGTGTGTGTGTGCAGCCATACTTATGTGTGTGTGTGTGTGTGTGTGTGTGTGTGTGTGTGTATGAGTTTTTATCCCATTTAGTCTCTGTGTTTGTTAACACTTGTCTTGACCTCCCCCCCTGAGCTGAACCAATCAGATTCTCTCATAATGTAAGCCAATCATAACATTTAGCTAAGTGCATTCAGAGCCGCAACAAAAACAGAAATCCTGTGCCGGGTCATCTGGAGTATTTTGGTCCGTGTCATCTGACTAAGTACCGCAATGTGCTCATTTCTTTATCTTTTTTAGTTAACAGCTCTTTAACTAATTTGGTCGGTATATGTTGAACTCTTTTTGTCATTTAAATGATGCTCATGTGATGGTTAAATACAATAACACAGATTTTTATTATAAGCTATAAAATGTAAGAATAAGTGGCTTATTTTAAAGGTAAAGCATTTCCCTCTTCTCTGAACATCTATCTCTTGGTACTTTCTTACTTCAAGAAATATATAAGATATACACTTTAAAAATAATCTTTAATTGCCAAATGGTTACAGTAACATAAGCACAGATGTGTGAATATATGGTGGATTTCCATTACAAAAGAGACATGGCAAACCCTGAACTTTTGAAAATTTCTGAGGCTCAGAGGTATAGGTTATTTCTCACATTTCCACTGTATGTTTACAATCTAGGATACGGAAAAACTAGGTTGTCGATTGTCCCGAGAGGTGCAGAGTGCCTGGATTATGGTTGTTGATTTCCTATCATTTAAATTCTCTTAATGATTTCTATGTGATGTACCCTGAAATATCCCAAACACTGCACACAGCACATTTTTGTTTCTTCCCCCGTCTTCTTCATATGTTCTCCCCCAAATTCTTCAGGGCTCGGATGTCGTCACTTCATCACTTGAAAATTAATTTGACGTAGTTCTTTTGTTCTTTATTTATTTTTTCTCCAGATGTAGTAGTAAAAGTGTGTAAATGTGGTCCTCGTAGTTTCACCTGAATGCACCTGAAACCTGAGCTCAGACACAATGTGTGGAAATGGAAAGCAGAACCAGAGACAATAGCTGCATGTTACATTACATCCCCCGAGTTCCTATAAAAAGAGGTAATCGTTATATATATGTGGTTTAATGCTTTCTCAGTTCTCGAAAACAACAGATAAGCAAAAACTAAAGTACACGACTGTCACCCCCACACCCACAAAGGGAAGCTTCTGTCGGGCCAGTATCACATTTGGATAATAGTTCAGTAAGTTACTCATATTTACTTCACACAATCTGCATCCACCAAGTGACGTCTTTTCCACACCTAAGCACATGTCATTTCTCACCTCAGAGCTTTCTATAAAAGATAAAAGATCTTCCGATATTACGTCACCAGTCAGCAGTGTGTCACACATCAAGGTGCAGTGAGTTAGCTGTGGACCCGATCACTCATCACTCAGAAATAATCCTTCCAAAAATGGCTACTTGCCCAAGAAAGCAGCACAGTGTAACATCACATTCCTTTGCCCCAAAGAACAGCGAAGCTTTTTAAACTACTTTTCTTATGAGCAAAGAAAACGATCATGGTTTCCTGTTGGTGCTTTTTCTGCACTTCGGTGATTTATTTGGAATGATACAGTATCACGACTATCATTAAAATTTAACTGCACAAAAAACACCAAATGCTCTCTGCTCACAAAGAGTTTAAAGACCTACTTTTGAGCTTTGACATAAGACAAAGGAAGCTGTTTGACAGTCATGAAAGGTCCGTGTGGATAATATTCACACACCCTTGTTTACTAGTGACACAAATTGTTACTGCACAGATAACGAGAGAATAAAAAGCTGTTCAGATGTTTTGCCTAGAAATTGAAACGTGTTAAGTCTTATGTGTATTGGCTTTTCTCCAGAGAGTAATGGATTACGTGTAAAAGAGTTGTGTAATCAGCATCAAAAAGACAAAATCAAATTACAGTAATATTTAATAAAATACAAGAACAATATATGACCAAGCACATTACAACACCACTTCCAGCGAAGCAGTTGCCAATTTATTATCATGGCCTCTAGTGAGATGTTTTCACTGGGTGGACATTTCACCATTACTTGAACTTGAACAACAAGTTGTGTAAATGGTCTATAGGCTATTGCATGAATGTGCTTGATGAAATGTAAGATTTATAAAAATACACTGAGCTTTTCTAAGGTTACGTTGTTCTGTTGTCTTATAGAAGTAAAAGTCGTCTTATATTTATTTTCTCTTGTCTGTATTTGCATGTTTGGTATTGAGGTAATTCAAAAGTATTGGAAATCAGGTTAGGTAACTTTAATATTGTGATACTACATTTTTTAACAGGTAATTAGTAGTTGTATAGGATTACTTTTTAAAAGTAAAGCTGCTATTCTCACTTATTATTCTCATTTATCCCTTTATCAGTGTAACAAAAGGAGATGACATGTACAGTAATGTTGAGAGGGTTTATTATTTCTTACAACAACAGCATTCTACAAAGGACCTTCAATTCACGGAATAGCAACGTTGCATATAGCTCAGACCACTGTGAGAGACTCCTCTTAAGGTCAGGTTGGCAGCACATTTTAACCCAGACTAACAGGATTATATATATATAGATATATCTATTATAGGATTAGGACTTCGAGGTAACCATTAATGGCTTACATAGTTAGAGAGTATAGTCCCACTTAAGGGAAGAGGTCTTGATACTGTAGGTTTCTATAAAGTGTTTCTGAACCGACCCAAACGTTCTCAGGGATACTTTGTGTTCTGCTTTAGTGATCAGACAGCAACAGTCACCAGGCAAATGGATAATTGCACATGAGCTCACTGGCCTCCTGATTTCCTTAACAAATAGCCCATCCCCTCATTCACTTCAAAACTCTCTCTCCCTCCCTCTCTCTCTACCAGTCATTTGTTTAGAGAGAAGAAGCACACAATTAGCCTCTGCTTTGGATGGGGTACAAGAACCTGCCATACAAGCCTCATTTGGTTTGCAAATGTCCCATTTCTTTCTGATTTTAGTGGCTAAAACAAATGGTTGAGCTTTGTTTACAAAAGAGGAAGGAGAGAGAGAGAAGGGAGTGACATGAGGGAAAAGAGGCTATTTTATCTGTGACCCGGTCATCTCGCCTGTAGAGGAGAGAAGAGGCTCTCCCAGATAATGACTGAACAAGCAGCTTTGTGTGGGACGACAAATGGAGTGATCCCACTCTCGTCCCACTTACCACAAGAAGAGCGTTGGTGTTGGTGTGTGTTGGTGTGTGTGTGTGTGTGAGCTTATATGCAAACATATGTGTTTTGTTGGGCCGTGCGCTATTTGAATG